ACTGAGGGAGAAACAGCATTACAGGGGACGAACCTGGGATGGTCAGGACTGACTCTAGTTTGGGAATGAAGGTGGGAGCTGCAGGACTGTGAGCATCTCACATGCTGCCTAAAGACTGCTGAAAGCAGCGGGTTGCTCCCAGATCAAAGCTGCTCCCTGTGTCCCAGGTGATAATGGTGCATCACCACCACAGCCTGAGAACCCCTTGTCCCAAAGTGCTGGGGCAGGCTCACAGCATGCCCCACTGAGCTGCTGGGCTCAGGATGAGTGAGGGTCCCAACAAGAGAGCCAGCATCTTGAGTAGGAGACAGGCACCAGTGGTGTTGTGGGGACATGGTCTTAAGGGCCTTCCTGCAGAACAGCCCCGGGACCCCCCTCTTGGCCTCCAGCCCCTCGCCAGGTCAGAGCCAGACTGGGTACCAGGGATGGGTGCAGAGGAGCTGCATTCCTACCAGTGTAGCCGATGGCAGTCTGAGAGGAGGTGCGATGAGGCCCAGCCTGAGAAATGATCTCCACACGGTATCGGGACCCTGGCACCAGCCCCTCAAGGTCAAGCTGGGTGACTCCACGGGGGATGGACACATTCCTGATGATGGACAGGGACTCAGCCACCGAGAGCTGTACGAAGTGGTCTCTGCCACCGCCTGACTCCACCCAGCTCACATGTAGCTCCTGGGGTCTCCGGCCAGGCTGTACACTCACATTAGCCAGAGACAGTGGATCTAGGGGAAAATACAGCATGAAGATCCATGAGATCATGGAAGAAAGCAACTGGAGAAGCCAGGACACAGCCTGCACCTCTGCACAAGACTAAAGGAGAAGTGGTGGCAGCTGACTGTCAGTTGTCTTGTTGTCCTGGGGGACATGCGAGTTGCCCATGCATATCCCCACGGTGACGCTAGCAGGCAGGTGCTGTACCGAGAAGAGAGCACTCAGCTCCCCAGTGGGCTGCTCTGCTCCATGGACAGGGAGCAGCAAGCCCAGAAGGGTCTCTGTGCTTCCCCTCTTGCATCCCTCTCCAACCAGTCCCAGGCTGGCCTTGAGATCACGAGTAGTCTAGGCAGAAGGTTCAGGCTTGACTGGGGAAAGCCTGAGCTGGGGAAAAGCATCTTTTGGGGCCCAGAGGCCAGCACACAGCACCTAACTCATGACACGTGCTCTGATTCCCAGGGGCAGGGAGCGTGCAGGTCTCACCGAAGCCCTCCCTCCCCCCGGACACGTCCATGTCACTGCGAGTCTTGCAGGCAGTGCCAGGATGCCCCGTCCCTGCAGAAGGCTGGGGACACTTCTTACTCACACGTCCACTCGGTGGCAAAGTGTGACGAGGATCTGTACGGGCCAGCGAGGACGGTCACCTTCAGGAAGTACTGAATGCCAGGGGACAGCCCCAGGAACGTGAAGTTGTGGGTGTTTGGCCCCACTGAGATGTTCCTCTGTGCTGGATGGCTCTTGCTGTAGAGCTGGAGGTGGAACTGGTCCACATCGCCAGCAGCCTTGTCCCAGAAGGCAGAGAGTCCCAGCGGGTGTCGGGTGTTGGTCAGGGTCACGCCGGCCGGAGCCAGGGGGTCTGAGAGAGAAGAGACATCCAGGCAGTGAGAGGCAGTCATGGTGGAGCTGGCGCAGTGTGGAGTGGGGGCCTGCACGCGCTTGTCCTGGGCACCCTCCACCACTTGTCCCTCGTGGGCTCAGGTCAGAAATCAGCCCTGGCATATCAAACCCCAGAACAGCCTGAGCTTCTGCTCCACAACAAACATGGGAGCAGGTCCCCACCTTTCCTGCTGGGTGACATTTGGAAACATTTTCCATTCAGTGATGGGCTTCTCCTGCACTGAAGACCCTTATACTTCCAACCTGGCTGAATGTGGCTCCGGTTGTCCTTCCACTCTTTGTCTGTCTATGCATCCCTGTCTCTGGTTCCCATTCCTCCCCATACGTGGGCCACACTCTGCCTTGCTTCCATGCCATGAGCTTTCTGCTCTCGTTGGCCAGGCCATGGTTGCAATTTGCAGTAGAGGTAAGGTAGGGGTAACACACTCACATGTCCAGTCTGTGGCTGATCGCACAGGGGATCTGTAAGGTCCAGCCATAGCAGCCATCTCCAGTGTATACTGTCGCCCAGGGACCAGGTCCTCAAAGGTGACATTTGTCCAGTTGTTCCCCAGAGTCACATTCCTGACCCGCTCCTGGGACTTGGTTTCCCAGAGCGTGCCTGTGTAGCCAGTGCTGCCAGAGGGAGCTGCTCTCCAGGAGGCTTGCAGGGAGGTGCTGTGGCCCTGATTGCTGAGGGCCAGCTGCTCCAGGGGCAAAGGATCTAGGAAAGGTAAGGTCTAGAGTCACAGCTGCACCCGGACTGGGGTCACCTGGCAGAAGTGCAACCCCAAATGTGCTGGGGCTGGAGCCCCTTCCCTGGGAAAACCCACATCCAGGTGCTCTGGCCACCCGTGGGGTCTGAGCAGGCCACCGTCACCCCTGCTGACACCCGCACACCAGTTTGGCAGGGACTGGGCCAGCACAGAGTTCAAACTGGCATGGTAAGAGAGGACTGCTCTGGTGCTGGAGGAGGTGGTGGGTGGGATGGCCTGGACCAGGGCGGTGGAGACGTTGTTCAGGGCAGATGGAACCTGAACAGTGCCCCAGGAGGGCGGTCCGGGGGAGGATGAGGGCACTGGGCTCTGCTGACCCTTGTGCTGGGCAATTGGCATAGAGACCAGGGTCAGGCACATCCAGCAGCAGCTCTGCTTTCCTCCTGAGCCTTTTGCCCTTTTATCGCATGAAGCTGCAGACGACCTGTGCTACCACATGCCTTGAGGCATGACATCGTGGGGAAGGGCAGGACCCAGTGGGAACCCCGGGGCTGGCTGCGGTGAGGGCTGTGGCACTCACATGTCCAGCTGGTGATGCGCCGGGGTGTGGATGTGTAGGGGCCAGCCATGGTGCTGACCTCAAAGGTGTAGAGGGTCCCAGGGCAGAGGCCCTCGTAGGTGAAGTTGGTGACACCTCTGAGCAGTGAGCTGTTCTTCACAAGGTGCTCCATGTGGCTCAAGGCCAGCACGTAGCCCTCTCCCATTGCCTCCTCCCAGCTGGCTAGTAGGCTGTAGGGGCTCCCCTGGCTGGACAGACTCACACCAGATGGTGCTAGTGGCTCTGCAAGGGACAAGGATGGGATCATGCACGTCACTGCATGGGGCAGTGCATCAGGCAGCCGGACTTCTCTCACAACACTCTGCAGTGGTCCCCCCACCAAACTCGGGCAGCCAGGGCTGCAGCGAGAGCCTTTTACTTCTCTCAGGGCCAGGGGCTGGGTGAGCGCCTCCCCACACTGTATAAGGCTCCAGTCCTTCCTTCCCGGGGTGGCAGCTCTGAGACAGCACCAACCGTGGCTCCACGAGTCACCAGGAGGGACTGGGCACAGGGAGATGTTGCTCTGGGGGGACTGGTGGTGCTTCACTACCCACCAAACCAGCTGCTGTGGGCAGAGGGCAAGATGTCTTGAAGCTTGCCGAACACTGAGTCCAAAGGTTACTGGGTAGGATCTGGTCTTGATTCGTGCCTGACACTACCTGGCACGAGTCTGCCAACGACCTCTGAGTCCACCCTCACGAGGAACTGTGGGGCAGCAGATTTTGCCTCTCTGACCCACTGCACAGCCTCATCTCTGCCCCTGCCACAATCCCCCTCCCCATCCCACCAGCCTCCCTCCGGGCATCAGCTCCTCCCTCAGGCGGCAGAAATGGCCTTGAAAGGACACACTCGGGCTTTCTGCTTACGTGTCCAGGCTGTTGTGCTGCGGGCTGATGCCCGGTAAGGCCCAGCCACCGCCGTCACCTGGACAGAGTATCGCTTCCCGGGGCTCAGCCCGTGGAAGGTGACATGATCATTGTCTCCACCGACAGAGATGTTCCTCGTCAGAGCACCATCCTCTCCCTCCTGCAGCGTCACCAGGTAGAAGTCCCTCTCTCCCGCTGGGGTGCTCCAGCGAGCCTGCAAGGAGCTCTGCTCCTCCGAGCTGCTCAGGGTCACATTGCCAGGGCTCAGGGGGTCTGGAAGGGAAGGGAAAGGGATTGTGTGCATCAGGATTATGGGATGCTCTGGACCCCATACACCCCTGAGCCTCGTTCCCTGCTTCTTTATCTGCAGGGTTACATCCAGCCTTAGACATCCTTTTGGAGCGTGCTGTCTCTGTTCCCCAGCACAACCATTCCTGGTCTAGCAGAGCCCAGACGAAGCTGGCAGCCCTGCTGGGAAATTCCTAACAGTCCCTCTCCTCTCCATTCGTGTCCTGTCATGAGCTTGCTGATATTCCCAGGAACTGGCCTGGACCAAACTCCTGGCCGGATGCCCCTGGCTCGTGCGTCTGGCACCGGGGACGTTTGTTCAGTCGGGGAGGTCAGAGCCACAGACTGGCAATGGCAGGGATCAAGTCAGACTCACTCCATAGCAGAAAGAAACCAGCTGGGGGTGTGGAGGTCTTCCAAAATCCCAGCTGCAGAGTCAGCAGTGAGCAGGCTCCAGCTTCCTGGACTGGCAGGCAGAGCAGGAAAGAGCTGGAGACTTGTCGCCTGGTGGCACCCAGGCCCTTCCAGCATGTGCCTGACCAGTGTCTCTGCCCAGGGCGAGGACGAGTCACTGGCCACAACAGCCCTGAGTTTGCAGCTTGGCACCTCCATAATTTGTTGCTCCTCACTAGAGAAGGCCAACACTTTCTTGGTGTTTGGCGTGAGTCTTGCTATGTCCAGGAGGATAGGTTTGCCCTCTCTATTTTCCCCCTGGTTTTCCTGGGAACATCTGGGAGAGCAAGAGCAAGTCCAGGGCCAGAACTGTTCACAGTGCTACGGACACAGTGTTGGCAACAAACCAGGACTGTAGTGGTGGAATTCACCCGCTCTCGGGGCCCTTGTCAGCCTGAGGCCAGAAGGTGCAGGAAGTTGGGTTGAATGGTGCAACTAGCTGGGTTCTGGGAGGGCTACCCTCAATTTCTTGACCTGCCAGAGGCTGGCTTCCTTGGCTGAGTTTGCACAACACCCAGCACATTAAGGACATCCACCAGGATGAGGTTATCAGGTGCTACCAAAATATACCCTTGACAGCAATCAGAGGACCAAAGATCCATTTCCCTCCAGGAACCTCCAGTTCAAACGAGCTAAACTGCTATCCTCTTGCCTCCTGTTTTCTCTGCTGCCCTTGGACAGCCCTGAGGCACGTGAGAACCCAGCCCCAGCTGTACTGCACACCAGTGAGATCTGCTGCCCTTCCATCCTCCTCCTCAGGGAGAGGCCACAGGCTGGTTGCAGTGCATCCCAGGGAGAAGCAGGCCAGCACTGGGAATTCACTGGAGGGGACCCACTGGCCCCACTATTGCAATGCCCCAGAGATGGGTCCTGGAGCAGCTTTTGGCCAGGTCCAAGCAGAAGAATTGCCCTCTGCACCCGGGACTCTGGCAGAAGACCTTTGGACTCAGAGGCTGGACCAGAGGCAGGGAGAAAGCCAGGGCCACCGAGGTCCTCCCCCATCCCTGGCCATCATACTCACATGTCCAAGCGGTGGCATTGGGCCCCCCCACAGTGTAGGGCCCTGCCGTGGCGCTCAGCCCCAGCCAGTACTGGGTGCCGGGGTGGAGATGCTGGAAGGTGTAGCTGGTGAGGCCCCTCCGGGCTGACAGGGTTGTGGTCACGGTCTGGGTGAGAAGGTTGTGGAGCGCGAGGTGCAGCCAGGCGGCCCCCCTGGCACCCACCCAGGAGGCGACAAGGCTGGTGCTGGAGCCCGGGCTAAGCCTCAGCTGGGTGGGGATGGAGGGAGCTGAAGGGAAAAGCAGGAGGCAGCGAGGTTCAGCACTGGGGCTGGGGCTCTGTGGACCCTTCTCCCTCCCCATGGTCTCCTATACCCACAGCTGCTCTCTATGCTGGCATGGGGGCTCAAGGTCTGGCAGGGGTCTGCTGAGGAATGTCTCTCCCATGTCTCCCAGGTGAGCTGAGGGGCTCTTGAGGTCCCTCCATACTGTCACGCTTTTTCAGGCTGCAGGGCAGAGGGGGTGGCAGCCCGGGTAATGCAACATTTCTGCAGCTCCCACCAGCCAAGGCCTTTTGCCAGGATCCCCAGATTGCCCTTCTCCCATGGGGACACGGAGCACACAAACCCGAGCTGTGGGTCCTGCAAGGCAGGACTGAGGTGTGAGGTTGTCCCCTTGGCCAAGCACACTGGGGTCACAGCGGGGATGTGAAAAACTCCCAGGTGTTCTCCATCCTACACAAACTCCCCATCCCGAGCCTGGAGACCTTCTCCCCCTCTCCGCCAGCCCAGCCCGCACATGTGCCGCACCTCTCCTACCAGACCCTTTCTCCCACCCCTTCCCTTTTGGGCAGGCACACCCATCGCTCCCTACCTGTCCATTGGTGGATACTGGTGCTTGCCTGGCTGGATCCAGCCAGCGTGCTGACCTTCAAGGCGTACTCGCTGCCAGCCAGCAATCCATCAAACAGGAACGTGGAGGCATTTGGCGGGACAGATGCATTTCTCACAAGCGTCTGAGAGTCACTGTGGTAGAGGGCAAGGTGGTAGCCATCTCGCTGCCCACGGGCATGCACCCAGGAGGCATGCAGCACGGCAGACCTCCCGCCGCTGCTCAGGCTCAGGTTGCGGACCGGTGAAGGACCTGCATCAGACATGGCACATACCGGGGCTGGCTGGCAGCCTTGCGATACCTGACCTGCCAGGTTGCTCAAGGGCCAGTGGGACAGTGCCTTCACCTGGTGAGGTCCTGCCAGCCAGTTCCACAGGACCCAATCCCCCGAGCACAGCCCCATCACCTCCCTGCCAGCCCCCCAGTCTCTCACAGGTTATGTGGGCTGCACCATCCCCTTTGGATCAGTCTCTGCATAGTCACTCTGAACTGGGCAGGGAGGCTCGGTCAGGGACAACACACCAGGTGCTCACTGAGAAACGTGAAGCCATCAGTGCTTACCTGTGAGCTCACCTGCTGCCAGGTCCTCTGTTCCTGCTGGCCCTGTGGGTCCTGCCACCTGCCTTCCCGTGAGCACCAGCCCCTGCTCCCTGCAGCCACCACTGCTGTCTGACACCATCCCTTCTGCTGGCCCTCCCTCCAGCTCTACTCTCTTTTTCTAGGTTTTCCACCTTCACCTGCACTGATTTACCCAAGGATCTTCTGGAGAGATGCAGGCAAGGGCTGCCATCCTCACCTGAGCTGTGGGCTCCCCAGCCTTGCCCCCTTCCCCCAGTCCTTGGCATCAGTCAGGGAGGGCATAGAGCAAGGTTTGGTGGGTGAGCCAGTGATTGACAGAGATGTGCCAAAATCATGGAGCAGACGGTACTTCCTTGTAGCTCTTTCTAGACCTCCAGACATGACTTTTTCCACCCCTCAGCTCTCTGCAGTCCACATCATAGGTTGGTCCATCATTAGCTATATTATTCCAGGGGAAGATATAGCCTGAACCCTGCCCATGTGAGGTGCAGGGGCAGGACCCTCCTTCCACATGGATGAGGGAATGACGCCTGGGGCTCTGAGGACCAGGGAAGGACCCTAATCCTTGTGGAAGTGAGGAAAGACCTGACCTCCCCATGGACTCACAGGACTCTGCACAGACCTGTATTTCACACCCTCCAAAGCAGTGTGATGATCACTGCTAGGAGCACTCAGACCCTTTGGCTCTGCAGTCCCTGGGGAACCCCTTACTTGTCTGTGCTGTGACTGCCTGGCTGGTCGTCTCCATGCAGGCAAGCGTGGCTGTCACCTCAATCTCGTAGCGCATGCCAGGGGTCAGCCCGTGGAACCAGAAGCTGGTGATGTTGGGTCCAGCAGATCCATTCTGCAGCAGCGTGCCCAACCCCAGGGAGGAGAGGGTGAGCGAATATCCCTCAGCACCCCCCTCTGGTTCATCCCAAGACAGAAGGAGGGAGTCTGACCGGCCATGGTCACTCACGCTGAGGTTCAGGAGGGTCCCTGCAGAGGCAAAGCCAAAACCCTCAACAAGGAGCTGTGGTGCTGATGGGTGGCCACCCTGCAGAGCCAGGCTCCCCAGCCCACCCACCCTCACTGCACACCTTGGCCTGGGCCATCACCATGGGCACTGCCCCACTGCAATCAGGCCCCCCGACCCCAAAGGCTCAGAACAGCCTTTGGAAAACACAAGAAGGTTCAGAAACTCCCATGGACTGGGGTCAAAGGCACCAAGTGAAAGAGATGCTCCGAAGCATGGAGCATCTCTTCTGCTGGGGAAAGACCAGAAGGCTTCAAGGCCATCACATGCTTTGTCCAGACAGCCCTAGTTTATGGCAAAAAAGTTGTCCTGGCTGGGTATAATCCATTGCTCACCACCTTGGTTGGTTTGAGGCCCAAAAAAGATGTTGAAGGGCTCTGGGTCCGCCTCGTAGAAGCAGGACAATGGCCAGTGAGGGAGCAGGTTGGATATGGCAGTGGGGCCGTCATGCTTGCTGCAGTAGTCTCTGTCTCTGTGTGGGCTCTGACAGAGGAAAGGGTAACGACCGCTTTGGACTGGCACTGACTCCCCACTGTCCTGCCCAGTGCAGAGATGACATGGGAAGAGCAGGACACTGCGTACCTGGAGGAAATGTGGGGCCAGATTTGCACAACCCCCTGTTGAGGTGTGTCCCTGCCTTGGCTTTGCTGCAGCAGCAAGGTCAGCAAGCTACAGCTGCAGGGCCGGTGCTGTGGCATCCAGACGGAGAGCATCTGGCGACAAGGAAGTGGCATATGGGGCTTTGCCTAATTGGTGGGCCAGTGGCCAAAACTGCTATTGAATCCCTGCCCTTAGAGCTGCTCAGGAACCACCTACACAAACAGGAGCCAGACAGAGCCTGTCTGTTGGGACCAAGCTGGCAATGTGGCCCTTGCAAGCTCCATCTCTGCCTGCCCATGCCTCCACTAGCAGATCGTCACGCACTCCCCATCCCCAGCCTCGCTGCGAACCATGAGCTCCCTATTGCTTTCAGCCTTTGGGAAACACCAGAACAGCTCTAGTGCTAATAAGACATTTGTGTAATAATTAGCACTTAAAATTTATGATGTGCAAGATGTTGTGATCGCAAGATTGCGATCTGGCATGGCAAGAAAGCTTTAAACAAGCAGAGCTATTGCCCCAGAGGTCTGCCCGGGGGCTGCCTTTACACAGCAAAAGAGGAGCAGCGTGGGGTGAGCCCCAGGGGCAGGGGGCTGCTCAGGTGTTGTCTGTGGCCTTCCCACAAAGCTGGACAGTTTCAGAACTACATGCAACTTCTGTTTCATGCAATGCCATTGTTTGGAGCCTGCTGCCATGCTGAGAGCTTCACTCAGCAGATGGGGCAAAGTGAATCGGGGAAGTTAGATGGACACAAAAGAGGAGGATGTAGTCGCCCTGGGAAAGGCCTTCTCAGTGCTATCCCTGAGCAATTCAAGTGCAGATTTAGGAACAGACTGCTCGGGAAGGGTTATTGGAATGTAGTTGGGTGTCCACGGGTCAGGTGTCTACACATGGGCCAGCCGCCCTGGACTCCCCTTGCTGTCAGCAGAGACCCGGTCGCAGCAGCTTGTGGAGCACAGGGCATGGTTAATCTCCTCCTGAAGACAGACAGCAGGTTTGTGCCCTGCGTGGAGTTCAAACAGGGATGGTTTTTCACTGTGGGCTCTTTCTTATCTCATGAAGGTATGAGTTCTCCACCCATGTTTGTCTGCTTCTCTTGGGTATCCAACAGACTCCATCGCCTGCCTCCATCTATCACTTGGCAATCACCTTCTTCACCTCTGCAGTACAAATGTACTAACAGCTAAACCAGGCCAGAGGCATCCTCCAGCCCTGAGGCCCATGATCACAACACTGCTCACATCCCCATAGATAAGCTCCACTAACCACATCACAGCCAGCCACATCCAGGTACACCCCATGCCCTGACTGGTGCCTGCAGATCATCTGGGAGAGTTTTCACTGGCACAGGCCAGCGCCATGCAGGCACTGTGCTGGCTCCAAGCACACGGCAGCGCTTGCTGGCTTTAGGGCGAGCACAGCTGTGCTGCTCCCCAGCCAGCTCGGCACAGCCGTGGGGCTGCCCCATGGAGTATGATCCTGCCCAGCCAACTGCAGAGGCTCCATGCAAGGCAGCTATAGCGGTGCTGCTGCTGAGCCCGCTTGATACTCTGTGAGAAGGAGGGAGCTTGGAGCTTTGTCCATCTCTCACACTGCCCCCCATAAGGCTGGTTTCTGGAAGAGGATGGGGCTGACTCCCTCCCCTTCCCTGGCCATGATCTGCAGCCTGCAGTAAGTCTAAAGCAGAGTATTTACAAAGCTACTTTTAACTCCAAGAGTCCTGGCCCAGCACATCTTGCTCATCTCACAACTCCTGGGCACCAAGACCACCCTCCGCAGCCTGGGGACCACTTTGCTTTGACTTACCTCTATCACTGGGTGCATTCTGTCCCTCCAACCCTGCCCGTGCTGTTCGGTTGCACCCCTCGCCCTGGGGGATTGAAAGTGTCAAGTGAGAGAGGGGCAAGATGAGGTGGTCTAAGCTGAGACCAACACCTGGGACAGGTGCCCTGTGCCAGGCCAGGGGTCAGGCTGGCCAGGCACAGGTCCCACCCAGCCATGGCGTCTGGGGGCTGCAACCCTCTGGGGACCGTGACCCCTCTTCGCAGGAGAGTCCAGATCACTGCTCACATTGCCCTCCCCTATCCAACGCAGGGAGACAGACTCAGCAGACGTAGCTTGGGGCTGCCCTGGCCTTTTGCACGGGTGCTGGGTCTGCAGACCAACATGGGGCCATGCCCACAGGGGAAGACATCCCACCAAAACAGCCAGGGCACAAGGGGAAGATTTGGACGGGGAAGGAGCTCTGGACAGGCCCCAGCAATCTCATTCCCTCTACAGGCACCACCCCCTTCCCACGATCATGGTGGGGGAGGATGGAGGGACCCCAGACCTCAGTCCAGCTGCCATCCCCCACAGGCTGCAAAGCAAGGGCCCGAGAGCTCCAGAGCATCCAGCACCCTCCACACTGCAGCGGGAGCTGAGCATGCTCGCAGGACACCCGTCTCCCCACAGTCTGCTCGCGAGCAGGGTGTGCCCTGCTTAGGTTGAGGCTAGTTCCCTCCACATTAAAGGAAATATCTCTGCCCACTCCCTGTCCCACAACAAGCCACAGAGGAGCAATCATCTTTCTTTAGTTATTTTCCCCTTGGCTCTGCTGGCTGACTCACTTCTGGCTCCCCCACCGACTGCGGTGCTTTTGGGAGCGTGTGCATGGAGGGGAGCGAAGAGGCTCCGGACCCCTGGGAATAGCAGCCAGCTGATTCCTGGGGCGAGGAGCCGTGCAGCCATGGCAGCAGTAACACGCTCGGATCCCAGGCACTGGGGCGAGAGGGCATGGCGGGGAGCGGGGGGGAAGCGGAGGAAAGAGCCAGCTCATAATTGCAAACGTCGCTAATTTGGTGCAGCTGCATGGCTGGAGAGGCAGCCCAGAAATATGCCGTCATTCCTCAGCGGGGTAGGACTATGCAAAGCCCCTTGCCGCCAGAGAGCTTGGAGCCAAGAGCCTGCATGGACAAATGGGGGTTGAAGAGACACGGGCTTACCTCTGCCAGGGTTCCCAGGAGCTGCGGCACCCACAGGACAAGCAGCGGCAGCAGCGGTGGCCTCATTGGGACCGGGGTGGCTGCAGATTAGTGGCAGCGGGGGGCTGCGTCCCCACATGCTTTCTGAGCGCGGGTGATGGGATGACATCAGTGGGGACAGGCGTTGCATGCCAGCAGGCACATCAGCCCTGCCAGCTGTCCTTGGGCAGGAGCAGAGTGCGCCTCCGGGCTGGGAGAAGTCCAGCGTGTGTGTGTGTGCCGCTCGCTGTGTGCATTTGCTATTGTTCCCGCGGATCTGTGTCCCTCTGCGGTGACTCTGCAGCTGTCCCTGTGTGAGCGAGCGTGTGCTGCGGCCAGAGAGCTGCTTGCCGGGGGGCTTGGAGGGGGGCTCTCGCTGTGGCTGGGTCTCTGCACGGCTGGAGCCCGGTCTGGCCATCAGAAGGAGTTCTGCAGAGTTGTGGGAGTTGGTGCTGAG